ACGACTGCTGACACGTGAGTAAGAGCAGATTTGCGCAGTCACGGCTGAGTGAGGCCCAAAGTAAATACAGAGGAAGTTTGATGACAGGGTAGTATAACAGGCTGAAACTGAGCCAGAAATAATGCTACTTATTACATGTTCTGTTCTACTAATAGCTTTGCTCCCATCTGTAAATCCAATTTAAGTAACAGACGCATAATTTTGGAGCATGTTTTATTCACGAGTTCAGATGCACTATAAATAACTCCAGGATAACAGTGGCACTTTCAAATAGAGTTAAAGAAATGTGCAATTAAACTTCAGAGACATATTTTCTAGCTGATAAATTGATTTAAAAGGTATCTTTCTATTGCAAACACAACACTAAGTGACGAGATAAATACAAGCTTGCAAATTGATAGTTCTTGGTAGTTCTTAAAAATAAAAGAAGTCATACATGCTTGTGTTTCCTGGGATTATTTGCAATGAATTTCAAACACCTGAGAACTCACAGAATCAAACTTCACTAAATCATTGAGCAAAAAAAAAAATCTCTTTGCCATGAAATAACTATTTATAGATGATAGACTAATAAACATTTTTGGTGTTATTTTTTGTCACAATATTAAACATAAAACGGTAATAATGGCTTAAAATAAACAGATTATGGCACTTCTCTGATTTTTACTTGTCATGGGACAATAAGCTTTGCTTCCACTAAAAGCTTATTGCAGCTGGAATAACCTGCCAGCTACAATAAGCTGGCAAGTTACTTTTCCTTGGTTATGGTGTTCTGTTGTGCTTCCTTCAAATTTTTTATGCTGTTATGAGATGTATGGTATTATGCAACAAGTGGGAAGCTAGATATTATTTGCATATTCAAAACAAATAAATAAAAAAAAAGATGAAATCTCTATCATTTTAGAGATTTGATAATTATCTAAATCCAAAATCCAAATAGACACATTGGAGTTCAACAGTTCATGATATATCAATACTGATTGAAGACACGACTTCAAAAACTCTGAAGTCTTTCTATCGATAGAGCCACGGATACTCCCACTGTATAAACATGCCAAGCTATGTGATTGTTATTTTCAGTGCTGTCACAAATGGAGTTCCTGCTTGCTCATGATTCTGACAGCCTATTAAGCAGCTCTCTCCTCTCTGATACGTGTCAAGGAGTTGACAACTTCAGTGTGAGGCAATTTATCATGGTAATATTGACGGCACACTCAGAAGAAGAGCACACAGCGAGCAACGGGTACTCAAATTATTGCCGCTGCTGTCTCACATTTAGAACTTTGTGTGCTCATCCTTTCTCTACTTCCCCTCTCTATCTACCCATTTGGCCTGAAAATCATTTGCATAAACAATAAGGGAAGGGTTCAGACTTCTTGCGAGGCAAAGATTCTGCAAAGCAAATGAACCCAGCCAGAATTTATTGAGGCAGCAGTGCTCTCACTAAAAGCAGCATGAGGTGAATGTCAGATGGGCTCTTCAGTGTTTCTCTCCAATTTCAGCTGACGGATAGAAGGGAAAGAAGGCCCCGTGGTTGCACACTCCATCATCAGCGCCCTCTTTTAAATGAGATAACCAGGAGAGTGGGAGCGTGACAGCCAAAATATGCTTTCCATTTTGTCACTAGTAGGTGCCATCCATTAGGACAGGGGAAAAAGAAGCAGTGTGACCAGCACCAGAGGATGCCGATTCTCTTCCAGGTATGGCAAATATTTAACTAAAGGCCACGGTAAGGGGAAAGGCATAAACAAAACATTATTAAATAATTACTTTGTATTATTTTGTAATTTGTAAAACAATAAAAATAAATTGTAGATTAAAATGCATATGAGCAAATTTGGGTTCATGCAAAGACTATGACTGGAGAATTGTCTTTCTACCCCGCCCAGCAAACGTATATTAACAACATACCATGTAGCTGTTCATCATGCCAGGTTATTTGAGCTCATCAGAAAAAAAAAAAAAAAATAATAAAACATCTTTAACTTTAATCAACATAGTGTTTTTCGTACTGGAATACCAAAATACTGCATCACCACTCATCCAGTTGATGGTATTTTTAAGAATGTAAAATTTTCTGGAACATTTAAACATAGTTGAGTTGCTTTAAATGACAAAATCAAACAGAGCTCCTCTGACTGGCAAAGTAAAATGCCACTCTGACTAAAACTGAGAAATGTTATATCTGGATGCAGATAACAAAATATTTGCAGTTAATAACAAAATTGTCAATAAAAGCAGCTTGGAGTCATTTTGAAAAAGCAGTGACAGACAAGAATAGCAATAGCAGATACTGCACTACAATGTACTGAATATTACTCAATACTCTAATGACGCACAACTTTCCAAGTTGATTGATGTGAACAAGTTTATCTTGAGGCTTTTTATTTAGAGCTATAGTCATTATATTCAGTTTTCTGTACTTTAAAACTTGAGTTTTTATGGGATGAGTTTACATAGATTTTCATAGTAACTGCCTCTAAATTGTGATTTTGGATCCACGGGAAATTCTGAACTCACCACCATTGAAGACGACTTTTGGAAGCGGATCAGGAGCTTTTTTTGCGCCAGGCTCAACCGTTTTCCTCTGGCTTTCCGAAGCAGGACTTGGTTCACCCGCGCCGACGGACGGCACTTTGGCCGCAGCCGCACCCGGTGATTTTCGGGCTTCAGCCACTGATAGCAGTACGAACACAATGACATGTTCTGCAACAAACTGAAGACCGGACCTTTGTTTATCGGCCGTTGTCCTGAAATGACAAGAGCAAATCAGTCAAATGTAGCAAATGTATGGCAATTGAGAAAGTTAATTATATTTATGCATCTCCAATCACATTACTCAGTCTCATCTGTTAAAAATCAATCAGAATTGAAATCATGTCAATTAACCAACAAGCCCTAATGCCACACTTGGAGAAACAAATATGAATATATCACATTTTTTTTTTTTTTTAAGAATCAAAATATCCCTGTTGTGATACAATATAGTCACTTATCTAGAATATAATGACTATATTGAGTGTCATGATTTGATCACAGGTTTAATTTTAGAACATTTCTCCTCTCTCTCCAAAATGCAAACTCATTCTCACGCTGGTGCATGCAGGCAAAACAAAACAAACCACGATAAGAACAATATGGTCAACAAAGCAAAAAGTTAAACAAGTAACTTTGGAACCAAAATTACAACTTGAATTAGACTAAATATTCAAACAACAGGAACAGGCAAGAATGCATCAAGTTTTTAGACAACCGATAGCCATGCGTCATTTCAAAAGTTTATCAACTTCTAAACTAGCAGAAGACAATTAATGACTTTAAAAAGCATTATCTGACATTTAGTCATCTACGTACATCCAATAAACAATTTACCATTACGAAGTACTTTAAGAGCAGCATAGACGCATTCTTTGGAATGAATCATTCCAGCTCAAACCAGAGTCGCAATGAAGGACTTTGGGTGGAGTGTACTAGTGAGTGTGGAAAACGTTCTGATGTTTTGTTCAATATTGCACCTCCTGCACTGAAAACAGTTACGATGCATGTACATTTGTTCCCAAAATCTGCAGCAAATAGTCTTTAAGTCCTCTGATTTTCACAATAAAATTACCGGTAGTTGTTCTTGCAACAATACTGTATGTTCTCCAGACAAGCCAGTTGCTTCTTCCTGAAGCACCGCCATCCGTTCTATTTGCAGAGTGAAATCTTAGCAGTCTTTGTGAAGTAGCATCGCTGTCTGCGCCCTGATGTGGTTTATGCTGGCACGGGTCTGAACATGCACGTGCGAGCGCGCGCTTGATCCCAACTCGCAGTCTGCTGCAGACAGCTGGATGGCGGGGTATGTTTGGCTGAGGATTAAGTGAGTTTCATCAACCTTGACAAGCTGGTGACAAGGTCCTGCTCGCTGCTTCATTTTGTGGTTCTACCTTTTACACTTTAGGCCACAACTGATGAAAACATGAAAGAATTTAAAGGAGAACTTCAAATGAAAGGCGAGATCAGAGATGAAAAGGATTCAACTTACTTTCAGCCTGGTATGGCAGGTGTCTGTGAAAGAGGAACATGAGATCAGATTAGCCTTCAATAAAATTGTAAACAATTTAAATTATTACAAAATATGTATGCTTTCTTGTGGATTGCATTAGGATATTTGTGCATAACAAAAAAATTGGCCACAAATATAACTTATTCTTTCGATACTTCTTGTTTATGAATAAATTTCCGGAAACAACCTTTTAGAGGACGGAAAAATCAATTTAGAAAAAAATGTTTGTCGCCGACTTCTCTTCTCCTGTTATGTGTGGTGGAAAAATTCCAACCGGAAACCCAGCGGGGTCTGTCCCGAGCAATATAGGGCAAGTTCACCTTCCCAGAGGGCCTTGTCAACTTTTAGAGCATTCTCAATGAGATATTTGCACAAACATTTTAAATAAGCCACCGATAAGCCCTGCTAAAATTAGCTCTGGGATTGAATCAATGACTGGGGTCATTAGGAATCCAGCTGCACGTGAGGCCGGCCGGGTCAGGCTAATGGAAAAGAGAGGGAGGAGAATATCGGGTTGTTTTTAATCTGGAGCTGGCCCACAGTGGGAAGATACTGCATCCCACTGCTGGCCAGCGTTGAACTTTTTCACATTTTGTCACATTTACAAAAACAAACTTCAATGTATGTTAATTCTCTCTGAGCTAGATGGGGTATAATGAATCTGATGCTTTCTGTTGTGGACAAAGATTTGCAAAAAATCATTAATACCACAAATTAAGGACTGGAAAACATTTTCAGATCACATCGAAGCCTTTTCAGAAGATGCGCAATTAAAGACAAGCTGTAGTCCTCTGCAGAGCACCTTGAACAGTTGTTTAATTCTTCAGAAAGCTATTTATTCTAACATTTTCTGCTAATTAGGCAATATAATATTTGATTCCCTTAAGATCCAGATGCAAAACCACAATTCTGCCTTATTTAACCTTAAAGGAGAGCGACTACTACACCGCCTGATTGCATAAAACCTCATTTTGAAGTTTTCCGGCACGCAATCAAAGCAAAGACCCGGGATTTTCTGGGAATTCAGTCCTCTTCCTTTTTCTCAGATGAGCCGTCTCCCAGAAACTGCAGACCACAACGACACACCCCACTGCAGGGAACTCATTATCATACTTGTCATGCATCTCCTTTTAAGTGCATACTTCGCTGTGGCGATAGAGACTGGAGATATGTGCTGTAAACATGAACTGCGGTCAGCAGGGAGATGTAATCTGTAAAGGACTGTGTTGTTCATGTGTTCATAAAGAAAAAAAGAACACATACTTAAAACTGTAACTGATATTGATATTAACTTTTATAGACACTCAATGTTAATCTAAACAAACGTTGTGATGGTAGACAGCATCCGTGGTGATTCAGTGTATTTTATTTTCTGTCTCTTACTGAGATGGAGAGTCAAAGTGGTGATTAAAGGGTGTGACTACACATTCACCTCAAGAGAAAAAATTAGACCAGGCTTTAAAAATTATTTTTAGAGAATAAGCAAAACTTTCACAAACTATAAATTGGTTTTCATTCAAGCTTCAATAGAAGTATTAATGTAATAACTCTTTTGTTTGTTTTTCTTTCAAAATCAAAAACTGGTTAAGTAAAGGTACAAAAAAGGACAAACTTTAATGTACAGTAAAAACTGATTTAATGTAAAATAATGACAAAATTATGAATCATAAGATAAGTGCAAATATTTATATTCACTCTTTTGAAAATGATTGACCTAATTTAACAGAGGCTTTATTAGATTTTAATTTAAATTAATTTAACAGAGGTTAAATTAGATCAATGTTTCTAGTAGTCTCACAATAACTGGAATATAGATCACCTGAGCACACTGGTGTTTGTCAAGTGGGTATACTATAAATACACTTGTATCTGGTTAATTAATATTTGTGGCTAGAGATTGAAGAACACTCCAAGCAAATCAGAGAAAAGCTTATTACAAAAGTACATGTCAGGGGATGGATACAAAAAAAATTACTGAAGCAAAATATGCAGTCACTTACATTACATTACAAATTTGTATTTAACTATCATTATTTTTGTAGAAATCAGTTTTGATTTCTTTAAAAACTTTAAAGAAGAGGAAGTAAATGGTAATGGTAAAGTTGTTAACATAAATTTTGTTAATCAAGATAGCTTTGTAAAAGCATTAAAAGGGTAAAGAAATCTATGGGGCCGAGTACTTTTTATAGGCACTGCACATCAGGTCATGCCTCTCGAGTTATGATTAACTTTTAACATAATTTCACAAACAGTATCATCAAACTCTAAAAGAATCGCTTCTAAAAAATATACAAACAAAGACATGTAATCAAAGCATACTGACACTTGAATGTCGTCTGAAAAAAGGTGAAGACAGCAACAGTAGGCACAATTTATGAGCATTACACATCCACAAACTAACACTCTAGTGAAATAATGGTTGAGAGACCCTCAATACAAATGGGGAAATGGTGGAAGCACAAAAAACAAAAAAACAAAGAGGCATTACTGGGGGTTACTTTAATGGATGCCAACAATAACCTTCACGCACCTCTTCATGTCTGGAGAGACGCTTCAAATGGGGATTCTTATCGGAGTAATCTTCTACCTATTATTCAGTCTTTCATTTTTCGCCCTGGCTGGAGCCACTTTAATTAGCTCATCAAGTCAAGTGTAAAATTTTGGCTCTGGGTGATGGTTATGTCTTCCCTGCCAGGCACTTTGGCATAAAAATGAATTTTGATAGCCGTCTGGAAATGCATCTCAAAATTATGCCTGCTGCACAGTCTGCTGCTGTTAAAAACTGTCAAAATGTTCAGCAATATCGCAGGTTATCATAGCCAGGAAATATGAGGACTGGACCAGAGTACTAATGTAACAGAATAACAACACACACATCTGTAAAATATCCCTGATTTGGGTTAAACAGTGAAACTCGTGTTTCTGTTTCCATCCCTAGTTTTGACCACAGATTTATTGGCTATGGTGAAAGTCAAAACCATCTGTCGGATATGGACAAGGCTTTTGATATGTCAACTGTGGTCCGGTGGGCTATTAGTGTGCTTTAAAAGACCAGTGACAACAAAGTTACCAGTTTTAAACCAATAAAATCGAACTGCTGCCCTCAGTTACTGATGAAGGTCTTCCACCTAGCGGACTCGATGTGTCATTACACGGAAGCGGCACACAAGTGGCGTGGCTCTGATCTAATAATGCAAAGCGACGCCTCATGTTGACAAGAAGCAATCCTTACATGAGATACCGTGACAGCTCCGGGCATTTCTCCTCATACAGCAGAGACGCCTCCAGCAGAAACCGTGCAGACATTTCGTCAGAATGTGGCTGCATTTTCAAGACAAAACAAAAAAAGAAGAAGAAGAAAAGAGGTCTCCTCGTGTTACTGTTGAAGAGGCGAAACTAAACGGAAATAACTTCAAATAGAAAAAATAAAAAAGCTGAACTCTGAAATAGTCGTGTAGTAAAAACTGAGACTTTAAAGAAGCGATAGTAAACACTGTTGTCCTATATAAAGTGTGAAAATGATCACCGGGCAATCCCACACCAACTTTGCGTCGCATGGCTCTGATGTCAGCGACGTTGCATCATGGGAAACGGAGTAAAATAGTCTTTCTCTCTCGCTCTCTCTTCTCCTCTGTCTCACTATGGTTGTCAGAGTGAAAGTACATTTTGAAGGTAACCCCAATGCAGGCATCACGATTAGATCACGTTTTTTGCATTAAGAAGTATTTTTTATTGGTCGATATGGAACTCTAATCTTAGATGTCATGTTTTCATCAACTTTAAGTGAAAAATCACCATAATTAACAGAAATGGAGGATTGTGCAGCCTATAATTAATCTGTATAATGTGTTTTATGTAGTGCATTGAGTTACTGGAAGTAACTTCTTAAAATTGAAGTTGAAAAGTCAGTATTTTTGAATTTCCATTGAGATTATTCCACATTTTCTTCTTCTTCTCCAGTTGTGTATATGGCAACTGTGGATCAGTGGACAGAGCCATCAGTGAGACTTGTTGTACATTTGTCAGCTGGATCATTATGGTGTAAATTTTCCATTCCACTATACAGGCCCTCATTGAGATCCGCTTGCCATTGATGCCAAAGCCATTGAAACACTGCTCAGCTGATAAGACAGGAAGGATCCATCCTTTCATGTGTTTTAAGTCAAATTCTAACCCAAACATCTGGATGCGGTAGCTGAAATGAAGAGCAGGCAATGTTTTTCCAGTGTGTTATAGTGTTATTGGTGGGCCTGTGTGAATTGTAGCCTCTGTATTGAGATGTGCCACATCTTGACACGTCCTTCACCACGCTTATTAGTGAGTGGCTTTGAGGTTACTTTTCCTCGTATTCATCAGTCAGCATTAGTTTATCTAATGCTGAGACCGACCAGAAGTTGCATTATCACCTTCTCATTTGTCATCAACACAACCCAACACCAGCGTTAGATTAACATCCTAATTGACAACTTCAAAGTTTCTCCAGCAATCTTTTCTGGTACCGTGACCTCTGACGTCACAACATTTCTTAAATCTTATTGGACAATGAGAATCACTATCATTGGATAATATTGGTTTGGCTGTATTAACGTCCCTATATCCGCACTCAACGCATTAAACATTTTTTTATTATTATTATTATTGTTGTTTTTTAGAGTTAGCATCCTTGCCGGCTCTCCTAGCGAGTACAACTCCCTCGCTTATGTTTCTGCTGGAAATGGTTGCGGAGTGCATTTTGAGGGGATTCAGAAAGAAGGAGCCGGAGTGAGACTGGATAGTTCGAAGAGGCATCCGGGGAGAGAGACAGAGAGAGAGAGAGAGAGAGAGAGAGAGAGAGAGAGAGAGAGAGAGAGAGAGAGAGAGAGAGAGAAAGGCTGCGCGCACCTTTGGATAGGCTGTAAAAAGAAGAACTCGGGCAGACTGCAGGAGCGGGGACCGTCAGAGGACAGGAGAGACGACACAAAGGGGTTTGGAGAGACTCCACGCCAGAAGCAATATATACAGCAAAGCACCGCCAATGTGCAAAAGAGAGATGAGCGGCGACTTTTATTCACGTCTTTCAGACGGTAGGTCCTTTTTACACCGTCTGTATTTGTGAAAATAGACGGTTTATTTAAGCATTTCAACGAGGTTGCGTTAGTTCGCATCTAACTGGGAATTCATTGTAAAGCAGAAATGTCTGATGACATCATTTCGAAACTACTATTTTTACCCATTGAATTTTTTTTTTAACTTACTTACTTCAACTTTGGTGGTCTGTAGCCGAATAAATGTGGGAATTGTAATAAGTCTGGTTCCTGGTTTCATATTTATATTAGCATAATATGTACTGGTCCTCCCCCCAAGTTTAGCTTTCTCTGTCGGGATGCGCGCGCTCTTGAATCACTGAATGGATGGAGATGGCAGCTGTCACCAGACAGCTGGCCAGCTATTAAATCACCGGAACATAGAGCGCAGAACGGAAACCGGTGGAGTGAGGCTGTGGGAAGGGTTGCTCTTCACTTTGTCCGCCAGTAAATCCTCCTTATCAGGCTATGTCAGCGCTCACAAATGATTGAAATAGAGCGCAGCTCGCGGATGAAGGGATTCGCCCTCGTTGCAGGTTTAAATTGACTCCACAGGAGGGTCAGGCTGGGGGAGGGAACACACACACCGCCACACACCCCCACACAAACACACGCACACACACACACACACCCACACCCACCCACACACACACACACACACACACACACACACACACACACGCACGCACGCACGCACGCACACGCATAAAACCCAGCCAGGAAGGCTGACAAATGATGTTCGGAGCGTGAGCACATCCCCGGTCGGTGCAGTGTGAAGCCCCTCCAGAAGGAAATCGCTCCAGGACTGTAGTTTTCTTTCCTCTCAGTGACACGGATGTGTCCTTAACGCGTCCAGCGCCTATTAAAAGTTCAGTTTGCTTTATTTTGGTTATGCCATGGACAGAAACAAAGCAGTGTGTGCTTTTGATGTGTAAATAGAAATCTGAAATGTCTTGTCCATTTGCATTCCAGTACCATCATACCCAAAACACTGGAAGCCATAGCTGAACAGAGCCAGGGTACTCTGGAGGAGCTGCAAAGATTCACATCTCAGGCGGGAGAATTTGTTTACAGGACAATTCTTAGTTTTGTACACTGTACATTTGACTTTTATCTAAAAAATAAAAAATGGAGACATCTGAAAGAAGATGCTCTGGTTAGTGGAGACTTGGAACTTATTAGACTTATAAGACTTATTAGACATGCAAAACTTTGTGGGTGTAATAAAGATGTCATTGCACATGACTCTTAATCTGTCTTTTTGGGGTTGGTGGCAGTATAAATCTAGTGGAGTTTTCTCCAACAGACACCTCGAATGTGGTCTGCGTTCATGAAAAACTGCAGGGAGCTAAATACGGGGCAATTCTGTTAGATGCTGCAAAAGACTTCAGACTGAGTTGAAGGTTCACTTACCACAAATGACATTAAACATACAGCTGCATCCAGAGTTGAGTCATTTACATCAACGTAAGCTCATGTGCTAGAGTGACGCGGTCAAAGTTCATACTTTGTTGAGAATCCTTGGGAATTCTCTGCATAGACTTCTTCATTCAATCTACCTGAGACTGAGTTATTTTGCAAAGAACCATCAGTAAGTCTCTAGCTGTGAAACACTTTAAACGTCATAATCAGTAGAGTCTGATTCTACATTGTCGCTTTTGTTTGCCACTTTTTTCAGTTAATCATGTAATTTCAAATGGTCCCTTTCATTTTTACATTGGATCTCTTTCAGTAAGGACCAGCTTATCATTTAACTTATGCCCATATTTTCCAATGTTACTGCTGCTCCTGTGTTTTTCTCTCCCAGTGTGATATTTCAACCACAGATGTTCCATATCTACTGTTTGTTTTTCTCTCTCTCTCTCTCTGGGTTGTTTTGTCACAGTGGGGCTCTCCTGTTTCAGTTTACACCTTATTAGTTTTATGCTCTGCACTCAGTTTTGCGAGTCTCTTTTGCACCCTTTTCATTATTATCATCCATGAAACTACTTCTACATGATCTTGCCTTCCTCCTACCTCTATTTGGGTTCCGTAGAAGCCACAATATATGACACTTTGAGACATATGCCAAAAGACTTACATCTGTTATTGCAGTGCAAGGCAATTCTAAAATGTATTGATTGTAGGGACTCAAATGCACCACTATTTGGTGTTAGTCTGTCACATATGACATTGACAAAAAAAACTACAGAATTTTTCTCTGCAAAAATGTCTCAACATCATACTTACCCTGAAATTATGATGAGCAGCGTAACAGGTTGTCAGGTTGCCATGAAAGTTGGAGCACTTTGACTTTTTTAAAACCAGAACAAACTGGACATCTTTGATGTGTGCATGTTTAATATGAGTGAAAGAGGATTGTTAACGTCCCTCGTGTATGATGGAGGCTGTGCACGTGACCGTGCTATTGACACACACACAGAGGGTCATACCTCGGATAAGGCAGGACTAAGAGGACTCTTCTTTCACCAGCAGAAAGAGAAGAGGCACCCCCAAAAGTGTCGCGTCAGCATTTGCAGGGAAATGCCAGTCTCACTATTAGCTGCAGCAGCAGCGGCAGCCACAGAGTCAGCTGTCGCCTCTGAAACGCAACACCGCCTCCGATTATGCTGAGAGAGCTCAGGAGAGAAGGCCCAGCACTGCTCTGTGAGTGTGGCTAAATGCATGCATTGGTGTGGGTACACTCAGTGTCTTTGTGATGACTTTTCTCACTCGGCCAGTCATGCAGCTATAACAACCTGAGGGTCCCCTTCAGTCGGTTTTTGTCCTGCATGCTGATGCGAATCACAGTTATTCATCCGTCTGAGGTCATTCCCCTGCAGAGCTATAACTTTCTGTATATTGCCTGGAACATTGGTGGGTTTGTTCAGTAATGAGTGTAATTATGCAGCGTGGTATACAAATTAACGACAACTAATGTTCAGTGTTTTTCTTTTTCTTTTTTTTTTTGCTGTGTATATAATTAGATTTTTCTAGAAATTGACTTATTGAAGTGTTTTTAATTTTTTACTTAGTGACTGAGAGCACAAGCTCCTCTGATGCAATCTACTCGGGATGTAATTATCACAGAGGAGAGGGACAAGGTCAGTGCTTTATTTGATCAGGAATGATTCTTGTCTATGTGCAGCTTGGAAGTAGTCCATACTTTACTGATGACTATCCAACATTCAGATGTTACTTCCAGAGTATGATCTTTCACCTTCTGCCTGATTTACACAGTAATCAATAGGCGGAAGCCTTTAAGTAGTTTTTTTTTTTCTAAAGCAAATCTGTGAGAATAGTGTCATTTTATATTCAACGTTTGAAGTGATTACCCCATGGAGATTAGGTGTGAAGAAGGTTGAGTCACTGAAAGCTGCACATGTTATTTTTTCTTTGTGAAAAAATGTGAACACTTCATTTTTCCAGTTCTCTGGTCTTGTTACATATTTCTCTTAAAGTATATTTTCCCATTGAACACTAACTAGAGGATTAGTGTTTCTGTCTTTCTGTACACGGTGAGTGTCTGTGTGTACATTACTTTTTTATCTGTGCTCTGGATGGTGCATCAGTGTGCACGAGCTAAATATTGAGAAAAACAAAATATTAAGAAAAACTAAGGCGTTCTGCAAAGAGTGGTTCCCAGCATAAATAACCTGGTGAGGCATTCACACAAAAGCCAAGACAAGGGACAGAGAGGAGCAATTGTGGCATGTAACTTTGTCTACGTCTTTCTAGTTCCAGGTATATTGTTTATTTAGATAGCATGCACTAAACTGGAGTAATTTAAAATTTTTGATGGAGTGAAAAAATAAGGATCACATGCTGAAAATACTGAATGACCGATGGAGGATTTTCTGCTTAACGGTATGTAAAGTTGGCCGAGTGAGGATGGAAGGAGTTTGGTTTGCTTGGAGATGGAGCCAGGATGGCAGATCCTTCAGCCAGGCACGACTTTCTGCCAATAGTAACAGAACAGAAAATGACATAAAAACAACAAAACTGGCGTACAAGAAAAAATGCTGGAAATAATGCACATTACAAATTTTACACTTTTGTTTACAAGAATAATAATATAAAAAAAATAAAACCATGAATCTTTGTCCTTCCCCTTCTCAATCCTGCACTACTTTATGTTGGTCTATCACATAAAGTACAATCCCAATAAAATATACTGAGATTTGTGGCTGCACTGTGGAAATTCTGAAACATTCAAGCTTTACTTTTGAAACACACTGTAAGATCAGGAGAAATCACCACTCCCTATTAAGCTGAATGCTGTTGTCTGTCACAGATAACTGTGTGTCTGTTTGCCATTTATCTTCCAGTTTGTATTTGTTTTCTTCTGTCTTTGCTCCACCACGTTAATCCTGTTATTTTATGAATGAGCATGAATCTCAGACTGAACAGGAACAAGGCGTTATGCAAATTTGGAAAATTGAGTTTGCTCCTCTCTCTTACAACTATTTTCTCATGTATGTTGGAATCATACCGTGCGGGCTGAATTTCCTCATCTGCATGCATGAATTCTGGCTCTATCTCCCTGCAATCAGAGGAGCCAGGCCATTGTTACCACTGGCACAATGCACCATTGTCAGCTTCCTTTTGTGTGAATCTTTGAATAGGGTGGAATCTTCTACAAGGGGATGCACGGTGCTCACAATTGCTGCAGTTCACTGTCTGATCATTGTCCTTCTCACAGAGCAAAAGCTCTTAATTATTTTTAATCATAATCAATCGTTGAATAATTGCTTTTCCCAGTGGTCCAGGGAGGGTATTGAAAGGCATTGCCTCAGCAATGGAAGATTTTTTTTGTGATTGCAAAAATGTTGTTTCTGATGATAGTTCGATTGCAGAAAAGTGAGATTTGATGTCCTTTAGATTTGAGCTATTAATCACCTCTACGTTTCCAAGCCTCTTTCATTTTGTCTTACCGCTGCAAATGCATCTAATCTCAAAAACATCCACATGCCTCACAATCTCAGGTCTACATTTTACTTCCAAATTATGTTCCGTCTCTCTTTTGAGAAAAGAATATGGGCTGCACTAACGGCATTCTGCCCTTGGTTCTCTAGTCTCGCTAGTTTTTATTATTTTTGGGACATTCTGTCCTTCATCTCCTTTTCATCTGTCCTTCGAGTTCATATCCCTGTGGTTTCAAATCTAGGTTGGAGCCATTTTCATGCACTGAAAAAGGCGGGAGGAAAAATAGTTGTGTAATTGCTTCGCCGTACGGCGTCGTGAAATCAGAAGCCTGGTTTTAACCCGTCAGGCTGATGAGAGCGTCTTTGATAGGGCTGCAAGATGGGATAGTAAAGCACACCACAGCAGTAATTTTTGAAGAAATGTCGGGGGCGAGGGGAATCGTTTTGGTCTTTTGACATTCCCTTTCCCTATCTGCAAAAGGAATGTCATGCAGTCATGACATTTTTAGACCTTTGTTAATGACACACAAACTTAGAGTTCACTAAGCTTTGACCTTTTAATGACTGTTACATTACAAACTCCCCGAGAGATAGCAACAGACAGTCACAGAGAGTAACAAGAGGCTTAGGGATGTTCTAGATGTTCACCCTCTGGTTATTTAATAGCTTGATCAAATTATGTCAATGGACTTTGATATCTCAGTCTCCTAATCTGATTGAAGTCCAGTCAGAAGGATGGTTTCTTTTATTTCTTCTTCGACAAAGAAAGAGATTTAACAAATGTTCAACTTTTAATACCTAATGGTAATCTCAAGGTAAAGTTTGGGAGGAAAGAAAGGTGAATAAAACCAAAGAATAAATTTGACTTTGCAAAACTGGAATTGGCAAGAGCCCACGGTAAATCAGGCATAACGTTTTACTTTCTCTGAACCAAAGAGAGTCCAAGATCCCATCTTGGACTCTGTCTCTCTTTCTCTCTCTCTCTCTCTCTGTTTTAGGTGGAGAGAAGTTATGTTTCAGCAGAGGATATATCTGGGTTAATGACTCTGGTCTGTGTCCCTTTGTCCAGATGCTTCTCACTTTGGATTCAGACCCGTTTAAAAAAAAAAAAAAAAATCAACAGCAATCAACGTTGTTGACTGCAGCTCCTTTAGGTCATGAAAACATCCAGATTTAGATGTGAAATAAAAAGTAGTTGTGATTAATTTATAAGGTGTGTCAATGACATTTTAAAGGGACCTGGTGAAAAGCTGTTCAGTGAATTGAAAGTCAGGTCTTAGGTGTTCTGGGCACTACACTGACTTGTCCATGAGACCAATGGGTAGTGTATTCATTGGCTTGGTTTGCCCACATATCAAATTTTAACATTAGCATTCAGTTTTCTTCCAATGCATATTGCATACCTATCGTGACAATTTAATTTTTTTTCCAATGACACGCACCAGTTTCACCGCAGGGCTTCCGAACAGACATATCTCTGTGGGCCTGAGCGACTGGTGGTTATTAACCTTCTAGTAAAGCAATTTAGGCCAGAGGAGTGTTTTTCTCCAGCTGTCGAGTGCAGTGAATATAAGATGTAGCCAGGAATGCGAGAACCCTCATTGTAAGGTGAAAAAAGGTTATTTTTATTCGCCAAGTGATAAATGTGGTGTCTGTGAAGGTGCAGCGCCCCATTTGGCCCTCTCTTCATTGCTTTCATTCATTCTCCATTAGGATTTTCCTTATGTTCTAGCACTCTGTGTTCATTTCCTGCCCTCATCGGATTGTCATTTCTCTCTCTCTCTGCACCTCCAAATTTTCCTCATCTTCTTTCCGTGTCTCGCTAATACAGAATCCATTGTAACCGACTGTATCTGGCGTCCCTTCCAGCTCCCCTCCCTTCAAATGTGTTTCCTCTGTGACCCCCCTTGTTTTCCTCTTCACAGTGGATCTGCTGTCCAGGTCCGAAGGTGACTCGTTGGCTGGGCCAGAGGCTGCAACACAGGACATGGGTCCTGCCTCTTCCTACCACTCGTGTCTTGTGTTGCAGCCAGTGGAGCTGCCTGCTTTGACTGTCTGCTGCTCTGTCTGCCCTACTGATGATGGATTGAGTCTCTGGAACATAGGAATCCTGTCAAGTCTCAGACGTTATGACCAGAATCCTCACTTTGCAGCTGCCCCTGTGTCAAATTACAGTCATTTGTTGGATTTTTGAAGAGTGCCTTAAAAGTACATTTGTTTTCATGTACTTTTCATGTATGTTTTTTTGGCAATTTAAATCAAACATGTTCCCTACAGCTTTTGGCATTACTGATAAATAAATGAAATGAGTCGACATGTAAAACATTTTGTCATGAAGTTAATGTTTTAATGAAAAATGTTTCCAACTTTTCATTATTTTAATTTGATTTATTTATTTGAAATATGTCTTGACATGTTTATTGCTGCTGTCCTTTTTGGTACTAGCCATAAAGATCTAAAGTTATTAAAACCAACACAAAAAAGACCTTGTGATCATTTTGAAAAATTTAATCATATCATGCTGTCCTGATGCTGTGGACTCTGTATTGTGGTTCTTAAATTCATTCATTTCTTTAATTTTTTTGTTATTCAATAAAAGGATATTTTCACCATGAGATCACCTTTCTCTTGCTTATGTTTGCGCCCTCAGCAACTAAACATGAAACATACATCAAAAGTCCAACTCAGGAAATCTAGAAAATAAGTTGTTTCCTTCAAGCCAGAGTTAATTTTTGCACCCCAAAGGGAAAATGGAAAGCATTTAAAGTGAAGGTCTTGGAAACTATATACACTGCTGTCCAAAGGTCATAGGGGAAGAAGCCACCTGTTGTAGACATACAGGACAATATTGCAATCCAGGCCTCATTGATCACAACAACAGACTTTGCAGAAGGACACAGCTGTTTTTTAGTTTTTTTAATCTTTTCTCCTGAGTATTATAAGAACAGACAAGGCATAGTGAAAGAATCTGTCACCATGTTCCTCGTGCTTGGAGATAAATCCCTCTTTATGAGCGTCTGGGTGGAAGAGATCACAGAGTGGTCACGCATCAGGTGTTCCTGCTTTACCCGTTCAGCGACACACTAATAAAAGAGTGAGCGTGAGGGTGCACGTGGTTTAGATTGTGAAGCTGCCATCAGCGTTTGAATGACCGATTCGAAGACATATCTTGTGTGTGAAATTCCCCTGCTGTCAGTGTCGCTCAATTTAAATTGTTTATAAATAAAAAAGGAAGCTGAGAAAAGCCATTTATTGAGAGACTGGCCCCTTCCTAACAGAACAGAGAGAGGCCATTGCGATATAACAGAGGGGATCTGCATAGCAATTGGACGACAAAGGGACAGGACAGGACACTGACCCATTACAGAGGGTGAAGAACTCATGTCTCAGAAACACACTGTTATTTACCAGTACATAAATCAGGAGTTAATAAGGTTTTGCCATAGACCTCCTGTTTTATCTTGAGGTAGAACTCAGATAAACAACAGAACATCTAAACTGACATTGTTATAGTAATAATATTTATAGTTTGTTGTGCTAGCAGGGGTAACAGCAACCACTGGGGAATTTTCTTCACTTTTTCACATGTTGTTTCTGCTGGTTTCACTGTTTACAACCCAGACGCAAGTGGTTAGCACAGTCCACCTACCAGCATCACTGAAGCTCCCGTGGAGTGTAATGCCTGCAAGCAGAGACTTCCTGTGTAAACAGTAATGATTGTCTAAGCGTCTGGGACACAACAGGATGTTGTGATTACTCACATCTTTTATACATGCCCTTGAATAATTATGACACAAGAAAAAAAAATGTGAGAAATGTTATTTCATGTTTATGAAATGACTTTGTACCAGAACCCATCTAATTTCACCACTATGAACTGCTGTCTAAGCTAATAATAAAAATAAAAATTTTAAAGTAAAAACAGTTGGGAAAACTTCACCTGATCTCACTGACGTGGAATAATTTTATTCATGTTAGTCCATCATGAACTGTTGCATTGAGTCCTATATCCAAATGACAGGTTCAATGTTCTGAGCATGATTTTTGTGAAAAAGTTATAGATTTTTCATCAGTGTGAATGAGAGTTTACTAGCAAAGTAGTGGGAATGACACCACAGCAGTAGAGCTTCAAGTATGTTTTCAGAAATCCCTATTGATTGGAAGCATGGATCTCTAGATTTGGAAAGTTGCAGTTTTACTGTTGTTTTTTTTTAAATGTATGGCTCAGGGGGAGCTTCTTCAAAATTACACACTTTGTGTTGGTACATCACATACGTTTCCAATGAGAACCAATATATGTTGAAAATGTGAGGTTTTGACCTGACATGTTCAAAAAAAAAACATTTGAAAGAGTTGGATTATGTGCACAAAGCTCTTCTGCATTTTGCAACTGTGCCAAATAAAGCAATTTGTTTTAGCTAAGGGTAGGGGAAGCAGCAGACAGACTGAGGGAGTGTATGCCAAGGGAGGGACTTGCCAGAGGTGTCATTTTGTGCTATTTTGGATATTTCTGCACTATGTGTCAAAACACTGATTCTTCCTTGATGATGACACGAGGAGAAATATACTCAGTTTTGAGCTCTGAGAAATAGAAAACAGCCTGAACCTGAGTGATGAAGTAAGGAAAAGATTTTGTTTCAGCTTGTGACCAGATCATATGGTAATATTCTACAGTGGCTCAAACTTCAGACCGAAAACTGTCACTATGGACTGGATAATAATCGGCTGGATGCGCACAATCGATTTTAGCATTTTAAATGTACTCAGAGATGAAAGAGTGGAGAGGTAGGTCTCGTAAAGTCAAGCTTGCTCATTGTGATGAAGGATCGCCAATACAAATCAGGCTCACTTTGAGAATAGAGTATGCAGGTGGCAAAGTAATCAATTCCTTACTCCTGTGCCAGGAGCTGTAGATCTATTCTCACACCCAAGGTCATAATGGGATTTTAGTTGCAAGAGATCGCTTGACCGCAGGGGGAGTGCATGGGAGACAGAAGAAGGTTAAAGAGTGCGGAAAAGGGCACATTCTGCATTAATTATGCCCTACCTCTTGCATGACTTTGTAGAATTTGAAGCACCTGGACTCCTTCCAAAGACCCGGAGCATTTAGCAAGATACTCAATGTGCCAGGACTCACAGGAGGACTCATTTAGCAAAGGTAAGTCCTTGAGAAACCCAAAAGGCAGGAAAGAAAGGGATTTAAGTGAAGCCTTGAAAGATTAAGAGAGACATGCAGCAGCAAACTGAAGTGTGAGAAGAAGAATTGTACATTATTAGACTGCAGGAGGGAAGTTAAGGGGTGAAAGACTCTCCTCTTTCTCCCTGAAGGAGGAGGAAAGAGTGTTGGGGGATGATTCAATAAAACAAGGAGAGGCAGCACCTCGGTGACAGCTCACAATTTTGACAAATTTTCCTGCGCTGTGAGTGGCACTGGCACTGCCTTCAATAACAGAAAAAGCTGAGACTGAGAGCTTGGCAAAACTGTTCAGAACAGGTTTTTAGTCATTTGAATGTGAAGGTCTGTTAGGTTGCACTTACCCTGAAAACACAAACCCTCTCCTTAATCATCCCGTTGGCTTCGCTCCATTTTAGTACACAAAAGAGAAGCAAGGTTTCAATCAAGTGGCATTGTTTCTATTCTTGGTAGCCCTGTGATTATGCAAGTTTGCCATGCGAGCTTTTTCAACTGCTGCGCAGAGAAGGCGAGAAAGATACTCTGCCAGTCGTTTTGAAGCCAAATAAGCACTTTGAGAAGGGGAAGTAATGGGGAGCATTTTCAGTCATTGCCATGTCAGCACCATACAATACAACTAAAGTTGTATTGTAATGTGAGCTTTCAACAGGTGTTCGGTGCTGGGCTCTAAAGAAAAAAGAGGTTGATTTTAATGCAGCTTACTAAGGAGTCAACTGAGTTTTTATGAATTCCAGCAACAATTTTTTATTTAATGGATAAAACCTAATTTTAGTAATTTAGTGGTTGTTAAAGGGATGACGACAACATGAAATTTGAAGATATTACATACATTTTGCAGCAGAGGTTGAGCACTAATTGTTTTTCATTTGAAGGATGTCAACTGCAAATAGAAACACTACTGCCTCCAGGAGTTCAAGTGTCTGGCCCAAGACAAGATGAGGCAGGGCATCACTCGTGCCTGGACATGGCGAAGACAAAAATGGAGCCAAAAAGCAAACTATTTGATTTACTGGTCCTACATGGAGGTTGGTGTAGGGCAGCTGCTCCTCTGCTTTCAAATGAGTCAGCCGAGGCGGTTTGGGCAGCTGGTCAGGACGCATCCTGGAGGCTTTCCACCTGCTACAAGGAGACCGAAAGAAACTGCACACTGTGAAACTCATCTTATATAGTTTCTGAAACTATATAAGATGATATCAGACTTTGATATGTTACAAGTGTCTATTTTTGTTAATTCTAATGATTATGGTCACTACTGGAAACCCAAAATTCAGTAATGAAACAAAACCGAATAATGTGTAACATCAATTAATGAAAAAGGTTTCCGTGACAGAAATGTTTTGCTATGGATGACGCAATAATGTGGAAGACTGTTGGCTTGACAGTCGTGAAGCAGACAGTCATTAACGCCTTTTCACAAGGAAGGTCAGATGGAAGCGGTCATTGTGAAACAGTGTGTTGTATACAAGCACATGTGGACAGATCAGTGGAATGAAAACATGGTAGAAAAAAATAACAGAGATACAAACTATAACAATAAGATGATTTAGTAATATGTTAAGTTTTCTTGCGCGTCAGCTTCCGCATTGTCCGCAAGGTCTTACGTCGCTGCTATGTGTTTGATTGACTTATGTTCTTGAATTTGATTGTTTTGAACATCACTGTCTGAGGAGCCTGTAAGTCAAGTGTCAGATTTTATTCAAGTGTGTTTGTGTTTCTCTGTGGCTTCATGCAAGTCATAAATATTTCAAAAGCGGCATTTCAGACAGTTCACTCCTCTCTTTTGGAAAGAAAATCTGTCTTTGATGAAGACTTGGGAATTTGGATGTTTTGCACACAACAAACCTGTAACACAGAGACAATAAATAAAAGGAACCAATAAATAAAAAAAAAACCCAAAAAAATAACACGTTACCTTTCTAACTAATGGCGACCTGGAGATTTTTAAAATCCAAGGATAATCAACTACGATCAAGAATATTTGAGTTTCATTACCTGTTCACACAGATAAACCTTTTCATTATGTAATTATCACATAGCAGTTTTTGCTTCACTACGTAAGTGTGTGGGGGGCTGCCCTTCAAAGGTTTATTTGTTGGAGAGATTTAGATCACTGTTTTTTCACAGCAAATACCCTTCTCTGTGGCACAGAAACAGCCAGATATTCAGTGATTTATCTGAAAGCTCTTGCAAGGTCCCAGAGTAAAGCACGAGTAGGAATGAATATCAGCCTCTCTGGGCTAAATGTTAAAATTTAGGGTTTTATTTAAATCTTGAATTTCATCAGCATTTGATACGTCAGATAAATCTGACTCAACTCTCCTCTTGGGTTTGATGAGCTGATTAAAAACCTTTCCACATCTGAGCTGATGCCTTGTTGCAACAGAGAACTAATACGCTCGAGCTTCAGTTTGCAGCTGAACCGA